TAAAACGAATTGCAATGTGGAGCAGTTTTTTAGGAAAAATCTAGCACAAGGCAAAGCGGTTCGAACTTTGGACTGGGGTAATCTTTTTAAAATGAATCCTTCCAGCTGATCTATAGTGTCAACTAATTGCGTTGTACGACTTATAATAAGCAGCCCCTTCTACCGGTGCTAATTGGACGCGATTTTTACTGGCCCACTCAGTAACGTCTATTGGACAACAACGTTGGAACGTTTCTAGAGTTTTTGTCTATAATGTGTTTTGAGAGGCCTATTCACACACAAGATAAGCGCAGTAATGAATTATGATAAATCCGGCAAAAATCATAACCGCCAAGGAGTGACTGAACGCAGATGCTGTCTGCTATTTCCGAAACGCGCCCAAAAGGAACAAAGAAAAAGGTTAGCAAAAGTCTTTTCATGGTTAGATGAAACGTTCATCTTCAGCTAGAGACGGCATAGGTTGGTTGACAAGTGAGGAAAAAGGCAGTATCTCTTTAAATCCGATAAACCTATTCTTTCGAATTGGCAGCCTATTTTTCCCTTCCAACTTTAGACGAATGCATATTCCTCGTCCCCTGGACCCCAGCAGTTTCGGATAATGCCGAGTGCTTCTAGGCTTTCTCGAGTACACATGTAGACGCGTGGTGGCCTAAATTTGAATCCGGCCGTAAAACAGGCAGTCCATCTGAAGTAGTTTATAGGCTTACGTACCGGACATAAACGTGAAAAACATTAAAGTTATCGTGTTAACGCTATCTCATTGCTTACATGATACTCGCATGTATTGTTCTCTTACTGAGAATATCGGATTAGCGAATGACCAAACGACCCAGGTGGTTAGTCATGCACCGCGTATATTTACAACACTTAAATCAGAAGTGGAATTTTCGAACTTGGACGTCGCTTTCGGAGGAATAAGCCCATATAGCGATAAAAAAAAATACGTTCGGAAGCGAGCGTCGCCATAATTACACTAATTAGACGAACGTACAAGAAAACCGTTGTTGCTCTGAGCGAACATCTCTGAAATAACTATGTAATTAATTATCCGTAGAAAATAAACGCGCAAGTTATTGTATCATAAGATATCTTAGTTGGGGCACGATTGGGTTCACGAGCCGGCCATCGGGATTCGAACCAGATCTTAAGTCCTCGAAAGTGCAATTACAGTCTGATTATGTACTATTTCTAGATAAGTCGGTGTAAACAATTATTATCATTATGCTCTTTTTCATGCTGACGTCATCAACAAGCGAGTCCACTAGTGCATACGAGTTATCCTGACTTTTATATAATATGTGTTTCATCTGTACGATATAAAAACAAAAACAACTCAATAACAATAACTGCGGATGAAAGATTATAGTTAGACACCAAAGGGTAATATGCTTACATGCCGACTAGATAATGACACAGACTGTCAGCTTCATTTTGTATTTTTGGCCTTCGAGGCCTGACCGCCCAAAAAAGCGACCATAAACAAAACACAGTCTAATTTCGTCAGACTACCGCCGTATTCAACCCACCAGCGGACGAAACCCGCCCCGCTGCAACATTCCCTACAGTATAATCATGTAATGTTCTGCAATGCTTTGCACAATCAGCCACCAGATACAACGTCCATGATACATCTAACCGGCATAAGCAAAGCCATAGACTCGAGCCTTGAGTGTATGTCCTATACAGGTAGCTACGTGCAGCTTCAATGCACCCGCCTCGATCGTAGAGCTCGACTGGACGATAGATTAGGCTGGACGCTTGAGTGCCATCCTCCGTACCAATCTTGTACAGTACTTGATACAGAGATAGACAGAGAGCCGAATGAGCCATAAAATGAGTCGTAAAACATTTATTACACACTCTGGCCTGATGCGAGCAAACAACCGCCTCGTGAAGCAACGGGCTACCCAGGGGCAATACAAAAAAACGAACGTCAATTTAGGCATGGTCATCATAGTTAGTCTCTATTGCAAAGAGGTCTCGAATTGGCGATAGCCCTTCGACTTTCAAGACGATATTCTTGCAGTTTTGTGATACCTTTTGCAACCTGTAACGCTGTGGCCGCTACGAGAATTTAGCCACCGCTATCTCTGGACTTCTCCACAGGGTGTATTTATTGTATGTACCTGTATAATTATTTTCGAATAGTTTACTAGCGCAAAATGCCGTGATAACCGTATGACTGCGTTGCTATTGATATTTGCGCAGGTAAAACAGTCACTGGGGCAGAGTTTTATATATAATCAATGATTTTATATATATTGTATAATCAATTTCGCCGATGTAAATCGTGGTCTTTTTTCCGTTCGACTTCAGTGTTAACTAACATTCTGGAGACGTGCTTGCAAAGCTTGTTAGGCCTAAACAATCATGGTACACAGTTGTGGCAGGCTAAAGAAGACCTAACTTCTTTTATATATAGCGATCACCACGATGAGTCAGCTGGTAAACTTACGCTTGCGCATTGTAGATAACTACCATCCACTGATACTATACATGACGTTGGCCATGCATGGTTGATGCCTACTCAGCTGTGGGTTTAATAAATCAAAAACCAGGTCCAAATATCAATCGAAGCCGAGTCTCAGCCGCTTAGAAGTTATATAGTTGCTTCGTAGTCGTTACGAAGCCTCAAATGAATACTATAGGTGCTTTTTTTGTATATATATATATTATATATACAACATTTACGAACAGTCTGAACTCAAAAACAACTGTTTTACGAGTTTCTAATATAAATATGGAATAATCAGTGATTCGAAATGAATCAAATGAGCTTGACTGTAATTGGAATCTGTCTACATATGGAAAATAGGTATAGTTGTTAATCCTTTTTTTTAGGGTCGTTTCTAGGCGATCTCGGGACTCAATGGACATAAAAGCAACAATTTTAAATCCCTTAAAAAAAAAGTAGTGGTAATTATTCCGTGTGTTCGCATCCGACCTTTAATAGGTGAGCAGTATTGACGGCGTGGTATTAGTGGAACCAGGATACCTACAGGATCGGCGAGTGTTTGCCATGGTCGTATTGACGTTTCGTTATGGCCGAGAGGACGAAGAAGTGATGGGACTAAAGTTCTACACGGAAGCTATCCTCGACTACCGACAGGTAAGAGCAAAAAAACCAACTGGTAACCCTCGGATACAAAACGACCAAAATTACAGCCCTCCCTTTTTTTGCTACAAGCTAGAGAGGTGCTAAAAAATTCTCCGCACTTCCACGCAATGCATGTTGGCGCAACGTCGCCAGCGGTAAAGAGGTACCGGGGCTCCCGTAAATATTTATAGAAAGTGTAATCACTCAGGATCTAGCCAGAGCTTGACCATATTTATTCTCACAAATCAAATCAAGCTGCCCCGTAAATGTCAAATAAGGTGTTAATAATGAAAATAAACTAGTGCTCAATTAGCCGCCATCGCTGGGAAGATGTTGAATCAAAACTGCGTTGCCAAGAATCAGCTTCAGTTAACACACATCACTGAGACTAGTCCTCACCCAATATCACAAGGTTTTTTGTCTATAAAAAGATTTAGTACAGGTACTTATGTCTACCTAGTGGTTACCTCTTTTAATCATCTACTTATTGCCTAAACGAACTTATCTCAGGTATATCCCGAACCAGCGAATCAAACGACAATTGAAGAGCTTACGCCATTACAAGAGACCTTGATGCGCAAGTTGGGTACGGAAGCATACCCGCTTACCCTGCGCGTCTCTCCGAAGGCGCCTCCCAGCGTTCGCTTGCATCCTGCCAGACCTTACATCGGTAGTCCGCTTGGCGTCTCCTACGAGATCAAAGTGTTTATAAGTGAGTATCAGCTGGCAAAATCGGCGAAGCGCAAAACGTTTTATTGTTCGTTCTGTACTAGCCACAAGGCGTATCATGCGGATGTGTGGTCTCATATCTTGGCTATTATAATTGAATTACTTTTAAAAGTAAGAACATGCGTCCTAAAAAGTTTCCGCGCTGCCTCACCATCGAACCGGCCTGTGTGTTCGAACAACAGTGCAGGTTTCCAACTGAGGACCTTACTAGAGAGTCAGCTCAACAGCAGTCATCGAACACATCACCCCACCTGCAAAACAAATAAGAGGAAGCTCCGTTTTCTAAAAGCCCACACAAACACGCGATTATAGTAGCCCATCTACGAGAACCCTTAACGCTAATAACATTTATTGTTAAGTAAGGTTCTAAATATGTAGCAGGTAGTTGTTCGATCCCTCTGCTTCTCGAGTGCCGTCGATGATATACAGCCGTTCCAACATCCTTGCTATCCAAAAAGATAGCTAAAGGCAAGTTTCATCTGGAGTACTGTAGCTGTTGTCCATGAGCCTCTTGTATTTATCTACCTCATTCATGGGATTATGCGACTCTTCGACAAATGCTATGTTAAAAGTATATAGATTACAGAAACTTAGGTTACTTTTTCACTTTGAAACTTGGATCAAAACCTATTAGCGCACTTAACTTTCTGCTCTCGTCCGCGAGGCGTAGTTTGCCCATTTAATTATATACGCAGCTTTATCTATTCCCTGATGTTACGGAGTCTGTACGCTTTAGAATACAGGCATGCGCCCACCGATTGATACGATCCTATCGCGCAAAAACGAGCGATATCCTGCCGCTGGCGTTCCTTTCCGCATTTCCTTTGTTCTTGCTAGCAGCTAGCATTCCCGCTAGAACCAGTCAGAAATTCTGTCAACGAATAATGTCTGCGAATGATGTCTATAGAATAGAGTTTTTTGAGCATATTTCGAGTGATTAGTATACTCGCAGGTACTAGTGCGCAACATTCTATATGTATATCCTTTCATGCGAGAGACCATATTCAAACGGAACATATTGCCACTACGGAGGGTTCTAGATACGTAGGAAACCATCCCGTCACTTCCAGCATGAGAAGGTGGTCTTAAATTAAAACTACGTACAGACGTTTTGATGCTATCTGATAGTGATTCACGAAGGGGGATTGATGCGTTTGGGTTGCAAAGGAGCTAACGGCTTCAACTTTATCAAAACGCTTTCTGTTCGATAATTTTTTTTCGTCGTCAAACAAGGTAAATTAACGCTCGAAAGGTAAAAGCCAGCCCTGTCGTCGAAGGCTAGAACGTTAAGTAAATAATACTGAAATGCGAGTGCGTCTGCTGGGACAATATAACAGCAAGCATAACTTTTCGATTCGCTTTATTATGAATTTAATAAAAAAAATTTACTGTAAAAAGAACACGTCACTTCATTCGTGACGGATAAAATGTGTGCAGATGTGGATGAAGGATGAAGTTTAACCTACTAACCGTACTAATAACAACCGTGTAAAATGCGTCTATTTATACGTCTCAGCAGATGCTTATCGCGTCTGTATATTATACAATAGCTGTTGGCAGTATCCTCTTGTCGACTCTCGGCGTGAACACACATTGTTAATCCAATGCAGAACTATCCATGATATGCTGTGCGTCGACAAATTTGGCCTACATATGAGTAATTCATTATAGATTTTGGCTCCCTGCAGCACGATCAGACTCAGAAGAAAAACATTTCTTGAATAGTATGAAATCAAATTGCCCCGATAGATACCCAAGTGGACCGGATGCACTGCACGATTGAGGCACACACACACACACATATATGTATATGTAGAGTGGAGTAAAGTTACTTAATCCACTTACGTGTATAGAAATCCAGACCTGGGGACATACGTTCATGAAGAACTAGTTACATGGATCTAATGAGTTTTATTGAGACCCTGAAACCTTCCCCTTTATTAAGTTGCGCAGAAGGCAGTGTAGCGCTCCGACTGTGAATATACGTATTTTCTAGCATGGCTACTTAATTTTTTATTTTCTAAATTTACAGTATGCTTTTTTCTCGGCCAATTTTCCTAACAACACTTAAGCATGTACCAATGGAGGTAGCAAGCGTTTACGATTAGCGGTAGTAGCGACTCTGTCGACCGTATTATTTTTCCGTTTCGTTGCTTAGATAGCCTTTCCGATGTAAAACTATCATCTAAATACCTACTCCGGCCGCACTTTCGCAGCGTAGTCGCATTACATACGGCACAATCCTACCAACTACAACAACAATGTTCCCCCGTGGAGCCTTCGTTGTTCATACCATTGTCTATTTAGCTGAACCTAATGCCACTGCTACCCTCGTGTCAGTTCCTTTCTCCAGGAGAAACACAATTGGGCCTTGCCTACCACTTACTTCACGCTGTCGTTTTCATCTAGCGGTAGTATCTTAATCGGTGCACCCGAATTTTCTCCCCATATGAACTTTACGTTCGCCTGACAGATATCTTACGGCTGCGCATGAACCAGCGCGAACGATATCCTGTACGGGCCTGTGTATTGGTGAGGATACCGGCCCATAGATGATTTGCTTACACAGAAGGACATAAAAAAATATAGGCTTAGCAAGGGAAAGCCTAAGCTGGCATAAATTCCAAAGGAATTCAGTGACCTGAGAGTAGGACATCGAAAACTAGAGGAAAAATGGAAGCATGAATAGCGAGGACGGTTACAGTAGCTACTAAACTTCTCAAAACTCATGTAACCTTGAGCGTTTGTTTACAACTTGGAAGTACTGCAAAAAATATAGTATATTATTATAATGTTTGCCGTTATGCCTTTTTCTCTTCTGTCGCATATATATATATATATATATATATATAGATAAAATTCTATCGAGCCATTCGAGATTGATTAGTTGGAACGTTTTTCGATTGAGGGCTACTAAGAGGTGCATGAGAGTCCAAATCAACTGACCTCATCTTCTTTTACGTAGTTGTTCTGTCTGTATTATAGTCTTCATTACAGGCAACATAGCGTAGTTGCCAAAAATATTTAAAATTCATTATCTGCCTGGTAAAGTAAATTAATGGCCATGTTTTAACTTTGTCATTGTATACCTCAATGATGTTGGAGATTAAAAAACCCATATTGCTTAACCTAGACCTATGTTTGACGTCCTAACACCGTGTCGCCAAATTTTTATCCTACATTAAACTTAATATGTATGTGTCCACGTTTGTTATATGATTAATTGAATTGTTTCAGCGGACAAAAACAATGACAAACCCCATAAACGTAATATGGTTCGGATGTCATTGAAGACAGTTGAATATGCGCCGGAAACAACTGTTGGAATCATCCGAGATCCCATGTGTCGACCGCGGATATCTATTGTAAAGCATTTTATCCTCTCTTCAGGTCGTCTTGAGATACAGGCCGTGCTTGATAAGGTAATGATGATAATAATAATAAAGATACCCTAAGTAAAAACACGCTTCATATGTGAGCTTCATAAAAAGCATATGTGAGCAAATTCAGTCGGTAAAGCTATTTGAAAAACGTGCTCGGTACTCGTACGCCATATATATACTCCATCGCCATATATATATATTACTTCGTACTGCGAGCTCCCAGTACTCGACGGAGTATAGGTAACCTGACTAAAGCCTTCCGTCCTCTGAAACCAGTCACCTACAACGGGAAGAGTAGCCGTGTTGCTGTTAATCTATGGATACGTTGTTCCAGGGCAGCGTAAAAAGCACTTTTGTAAAATTAATAAATGAATCAACAGCGATAAATTATTGAAAATCGGTTATAGGATTTAAACTGCAATGGGCCGTCCAAGTAGGCCATTAAAAATCGACACAAGCATTTTCTTGTCTAAGGATTTCCGTAACGGCTGTTGGCTTTTTCTGATACTCCTGACAGGAGTGCTATCAGCAGGGTGAACCATTACACGTTCACGTTACGCTAAACAATTCTACGCGGACGAAAACAGTTCAACGGCTGAAGGTATCCGTGATACAACACGTAAACGTATGTATGTTTACGCACGGCCGCTTTAAAAACATCATCGGAACAGGTGAGTGCCCTGTATGCGGAGAATGTCCGCGTGTCAATTATATAGCAGCTAAATATTACAGCATATTTCATGTATGTGATAATTTTACTGAATTATATGCTACCCTACTCCTATAGATGGAATTCCTAGGGCGTGTATTTGCTTCGACCCGCAGTATTTGCCCAATGTAATCGCGAGACACAACCGAACCCTTCTTCTGATACTATTACCGCCATTTCAGGTGACAGCAGCGAAGGTGGCGCAGGCTCGAGTGCCGTCACGCCAATGAG